GATAGCAAGTGATAAGAGCTGATAAGGGCATCGGAATGCTAACGTCATCAGTTTCGCAACGCCCTTTGCGTTGACAGTAGGATGTTCGCACTCATGAATATTATGTGGGGTGAGGCAGGGACCAAGAAGGGTGATGAAAGAAAGTGGTAGCAACTGATAAGAACTGATAAGGGGCGTCAAAGTGTGGATACCACCAGTTTCGTTGCGGCCTTCGCGGTGACATTGGAACCTTGGCTCTCACATGTGGTATAGGGATGGGACGGGAACACGGATAGTGGGATCAAAAGTGATAACAACTGATAACGGTTGATAAGGAAGTTAGGATTTTGAGTACCACTAATTTCGTTGTAGCCTTCGTGGCGACAGTAAAACACTTAACTCCTACACATTGCATGGATGTGGGACGGGGACACCGATGGTGAACGGTATGAACTGATAACAAATGATAAGGAACGATAAGGAGCGTCTGAATGCAAATGTCCCAACTTCGTTGCAGTCATCACTGGCAAACGATCAAGGGAGCGAGGTGTTGATGGTGGGTGACAGGAGTGGTAATGATCTGGGCTAAATGGCGCGGAAGGCAGAACGTCCCAGCTTAACTCCTCGATTTTCTGCTGCGCTATTTTCGCAACACACTCCGCTTGGCAAGTGTCGTTTTGCAGCTGCAAAATTTGGTGTTTATCGACGCTGGTGCCATTTGGACACAATTTGGAGGCGCCAACATAAATTGCAAAAATTAGTCATCACGGAGGATCGAACTTTGGACCATTTCTTCACCACTGTTTTGACATTCCTGAAGCGTTCAGGAAAAATGGACCATGGTTCTGTGTTCCTCGCATGAGCCTCTACAAAGTGCAGAAACCATTTTGAAAAGCGCTCCATGTCCTGAAAGACCTCCCTTGTTAGCACCAATAACGTGCACTTCTGAGTCGTGGCAGTCTCGTAACTCTTGAGCTTGGAAAATCCTCTTTTTTTCACTTTGGAAGGGTCTACTTCTTAGCATCTGATACTGACCCATGGCTTTGAGAGAACACCTTAGGATTGCTTCCTATTGTGCTTCAACTCAGAGCTCTTCTGGTAGAGTTGAGGGAATACAGTATACACTGACGCATGTTTTGATACGAAGATGCTCGTTGATGCAGACTGCAAGTGTTTGCCCCGTCTCTACAGAGCGCAAATAATCAAGTTAATCCCTATTGAAAGAATCACGCCACCTTATTAGCATTTACTGATGCTATCGTTTGCCAGTGACTGATTGAAATGCAGCTCCTATCACAGTGGGTTTTTTCGCAAACAGTTGGCATTTGGAACTGTCATCAAGAGTTCAAGACAAATTATTTCATTGCTATGCACGTTCATTCTTGTCAGAAATTTCACAAGGTGACCAGAGAAACTAGAGATAATGGGCTTAACTGCCTATTTTTTAACTGCCAAACAAAGATGCAAGGAAAGGGCATTTCTTCTCGTTATGAATGTACACGTTTTCATTAGATTTGAAGCTACGGCCCACGACCGTAATCTGTGGTTATTTCGTTCGAAAATCACTAAACAGCTGCAAGGAGGGTCGCCAATGAGAAAAAGGCAACAGAAACCATAAAATTCACTGCAGTCGAGGAGCCTTATCATATTAAGGTCGACCATCGCACAATGGCGAGACACTGTGCTGTAAGGAAATTACCCTAATTTCCGGTGTATAAGCCCGCGCCGATATCACGTAAAAACACCTCCGCTCGTGCAGTGTAACTTTGTACACCTTAGAAACACCGTAAATTTGCCTATAGAGGTAATTCGATGCCCTGATTACGAAAATGACTTTCATTTTTAGCGGTGGCGCCATCTGGCGCCAGTTGGCGCCACCTTGTCACGACCCTTGTTTTCACCAAAATCGGTGTAAACTTCTGTATAGGGGTTATTTGGGTCCTGATTACGAATATGACATTCGTTTTTGGCGTTAACGTTGTTCAGTGCATATTTCTCGGTTGGAGAGCGCAGACGAGCAGAAAATAGGCGCCAAATAGCGCCAGCGCCAATGAATGTCATATTCGTAATCAGGACACCAAATAACCCCTATACGAAGTTTACACCGAATTTGGTGAAAACAGGGTCGTGACAAGGTGGCGCCAACTGGCGCCAGATGGCGCCACCGCTAAAATGAAAGTCATTTTCGTGAATCAGGGCATCGAATTACCCTATAGGCAAATTTACGGTAGTTTCTAAGGTGTACAAAGTTACACTGCACGAGCGGAGGTGGTTTTACGTGAAATCGGCGCGGGCTTATACACCGGAAATTAGGGTATGCGGGAAAGCCCGTCATATGAGATTGTACAAAAGAGTCATTACGCCCAAGGCGCGCATCATCAAATTTTTCGTCGCACAGGGCGCCGATGTTGATGGAAGTTTTGTGGCTAAAGTTTATAGGATAGAAAAGCTGCCTTCAGGGACAATTTTGCCCAATGTTGAGCGAGATTTTGGAGTGCTGAAAAGAATTGTGGTTGTGGAGCCCGCTACGGACAAATTCGCATTGTCGTTAAAGGGTTGAGGGATACCGGGGGCTGTTACCCAGCGCTTATGGTTGGTGGCATAGCCGTACCCTAGTAGTAAGATAGGGATACTGATGTGTATATATCCAGCATGAGTACCGAACGAGATGTCCAGGTGTCGCAACAATTAGGTCGCAGAAAATCAATGGCATGGGCCGAGAATAAACTGATCCTGCATTTCTTTTGTGGCTTGAAAGTGTGCGACAAGGGCTCTAGAAGTTCGCTCAGCAATGCACCTCGAATTGAAAGCCCTGCGCTGTTGACCGCCACCTGGCGCTGCGAGAAAAGCGCGGGCGCAGTTGCGGCAGCGGTTGCATTGCGTTCAATGTCATTGACACTGGAGCAACTGGAGCTAGGTTCGTGAAACTCGTCCAACACGCCTCTTCTCTATCCCAAGGTGGAATGCGGCTGAAATAGGGGAGGCTCTTCTTCGAGGGCGTAATTGAGGGTTTCTTTTGCTTTCTTTTCCTTCCAGAGCGGTCCCGGCCTCCACATCCAGTACTAAAACTTAAAGGAGGAATTCACGATTAGAATGAAGGTCGAAGAAAGGGAAACTGACCTAGTTGAGGGACCCACGGACCTCCTGAGGGTGCGAACTGACGCGCAATTCGCATGGAAAAATTTGACCTCGGCGACCTATCATGCCTCAAAGCTGGCGGGTCTGGCGATCTCCGCCCACCGATCATCTGATCACTCGCCGTAGTTCAATACGTGGCGAGTGATTAGATAGCTGAGAGAGCGTAGTGTTGAAGAGGGCACAGCGATGAGAGTCGCATCAATGCTCAAATCAACGGGCAAGGAAGGGGTCCCATTTCTCGGGTTCTGGGCCGTTTCTCATGGTTCTTCCTTCTTTCGTGTACCACTCACCATCCCTAGGTTAATTTGAAATGGGTTGCTTTTTCATCGTGAATTCGTCCTTTAAACCACATCTTTACCATTAATCACTAAGCTGGCCTTTGAGAAACCAAAGAACTTGCAGTATGATGCTGATGGAATCCGTCAGCACAATTTAGGTCCGCAAAGTGAAAGTATATCCAG